TTTGAATATAATTTTCTTTTCTTCTCCATTTCATTTTAGAATTTTGAAAAAAACAAACAAAAAACACTTGCACTCCATGTTCTCGTACCCTGCCACTAGAAATTTTTTATATCAGAAAAATATCCACTCAAGTGGTTAAGGTTGAGGTGAGCAAATTTTTTTAACATAGGTACCTCTAGATTCCACAGGAAATGGCACTTTCAGACTCAAAAAATATAAATGCCCCCAAGCCTGCTGGTGCTGCAAATTTATAGACATCGCATCATGTCAGCACCCCACTTAATACAGTATTGGTAAGTCTACTCCACCCCATGTCAGTACCACACTCTCTGTAAACAATGCTAGAGTAGGGGTGCCTAGGTGGTGTTTCAATAAACAGAAAAACAGAAAAATGTCGGCCAGAAAAATGATTTATTTTTAGCGATGTTGCGCGGGCCGTATCAAAATCTTTGGCGGGCCGGATTTGGCCCGCGGGCCCGGGGTTGAATACCGGGGATGTAGGCCTACTGGGTAATTAGATCAAAAAGTACAATGCTGTATTTAGTACTGTCATCGATAAAATATGGCGTATGGTTCCACTCAGCATAGACAAAATATTTTCTCTATGCACGCAGTAAAGAGTGATGTCATTTATCTATAGCCAATCAAGCAAGGACTGAAACTGAAGCCTCTAGGCATAATCTAAGCCCATATGGAGGATCTTGCTTGCTTGAATTCTTCGTTTGGCGGCAACTCTGCTGTAGTGACAGTTCGACCTGGGTGGCAGTCATTAAAACTAATTCCTCCATGGACAGATTTAACCTATTATTATTTATAATTATTTTATTAAAATTGTATGCTTCATAAAGTTATTTTATGCTACCAGCTATAGATATATGCTATTTTAATATGCTTCATAAAGCTATTTCATGCTACCAGCTATATCGATGCTATTTCAATGCTTTCTAAAGCTATTAAATGCTATGGACCAATATTGTGGCTATGTGAGAAACACGCTTTACAATCCGACCATAAAGAATGAGTTTTCTCAATCGTAATTATTAGTGTCAAGTTTTTCGAATATACTTTTGATGCATGCCCATTTTAAACTACGTTATATAAAGTGCCAGTAACGCCTCAGTTATCAGACTTCTCAAGTGCTACGGATTGTCTGTAGTTGCTGCCGAATTACGGACGTACGGAATTTGAAATGAAGACAATACTACGCAAATATTCCATTTCTACAAAAATTATAATTTCGCCCATCATAATTATAAAAAACACAATTATTCTCAATAGAAAAACCCACAAAATGAGCAAGTACACGAAACAAAAACGATCGATCGTCGACGAAACATGACACGCCAGCAACGCACACAACCATTCCATGACCTTAATTATGCCTCTGGCAAGTTTGTATGCTTACATCTGCATCATTTACTAAAGATTATACATATTGACTATTACAGATTCCAAGAATGATAAATAATAATCATATAATAAAAATAATTATTATGATTATATTATAGTAGGCCTATTTTTATTTATAATTTATTTAGCCTGGATAACATGTTAGTACTATACATACAGGGCATATATATACTGTTTTTAAAATGGTCCTGGTATCTAATGCAACTACCATAAACTAACACAAAGTTAAATAAATTGAAAGGTAATGATTATAACCATTTTCCACACTCTTAATATTTATCTATTTTTATATTATTTTATATATTATTTTATTTTTAATTTTTTACTCATTGACCATTAATTCCATTGAATTATATTGTGAAGATTGTTGAGGAATTTTAGTTGAAAAATAATAATTCATAGCGCGATTTGAAACAACTGGTATCAGGTATTTTTCAGGGTTGGATCTATAATTTTTCAACAGCTAGCTTCAGAAATAACACATAAAACTGACATGCATTGAAATTTTAAAAAATTAGTGTCAAAATGATTGTGGGTGTGGGAGGGGGGTTGTTGCTACTGGATCCGCCATTGTTTTTAGTAAGTAAATTTAGATTTGAATATATGTATGCGAAATGAAGAATTCTTATTTTAACATAGGCCTATCTGGTTTAATAAATGAATTTGTTAAATATGGAGGTTTATTAGTTTTCGGTTTGTTAAAAAACTAGATTACAGTAAGTTTCTAATGTGATGCATTGTGGTCCAAAGTTGGACGCAGTCTTGTTACACGTTACTACTGAAAATAGTCAGTTGCTACTGAAATTTTGAGTTTTGGTTACTAAAATAGCTTTTACCAACTTGAGAAGTCTGCTTTATGAATTTTCTTATTTACAGTTTACAGTATATTCACTTTTTTATTGCAAGTGTTGTCATGTAAATAGATTATTAGACCAAAGACTGACTAGTATGCCAACTCTGTTATTAAGCGAAGACACTTGCACTTACACTTACGGTTAAAGGGATAAGTTTATAGGCTGAGCCTTTTGAACCCCTTATCGTGCCAATTTCAATCTAGCTGCTTTTTAGTTCCTATAATGCATGTAATGCAATAGGAATTATTGTAATCACTCTTCATTTTCCTGCATGTGTGTGTAATATAATTTATATATATACGTATATATATATAATTTATATATATACGTATATATATAATTTATATATATACGTATATATATAATTTATATATATACGTATATATACACATATACATATATATACACACGCGTATATATACACACGGGCATGTATATATGTACACCCGTGTGTGTGTGTGTATGTATATCTAACTTTCCACAAAAACATATATATACGTATATATATATATAATTTATATATATACGTATATATACACACGGGAATATATATATATATGTATATATATAAGTATGTATATATGTGTGTATATATATGTATATATATATGTAGATATATAAGTATGTGTATATGTATGTATGTATATATATATGTGCATATATATATAAGTATGTATATATATATATGTGTATATATATAAGTATGTATATATGTTATAATGGATATATGTATGTATATATAATGTATATATATAATATATATATATA